GATATATACAATTATTGTATATATCTGTGGTTACATGTTTGATTACAATATTGGCCAAACACACCTGTTTCGGTCATAGTGCGATATTCTGACGTGTGATCGTCCAAAGAATCAAACAATTCTAATTTCTTTTCGCCGTCATCGTCAATAGAATTATTACTATCATAATATGTCTCCACTTCCATGTCCACCGATTGAAGGGAATCGTTTTTCGAATATTCCTTATCAGTCTGTTGCTTACGTTTATTTAATTTTTTCGGAGACACAAGTTCTTTACTAGTACCTAACGGCTTATAAAACATTAATTCAAAATAATAATTAGATATTCTTAAATTACATACATTGTATGTATTTAAAAAAACTTTCTAAAATGTTGAGAATTTTTAACTACAAAGTAATTTATATACCTATTTTGATTGTTCTAAAAGGGGGATAACAGCTAGGTATAAAAAAAGGGGGAATGGTAAACTCCTACAAATATAGGTAATCTCCTACATAGTCATTGTGTTAACTCCTACAAAAGACAGTGTTGACTCCTATAAAAGATAGTGTTGACTCCTACAAACCTTATATAAATTATCAAATTTAATGATTTCCTCCAGTTTAAATCGTTTAATTAATTAATCACCACACATTATTAAATATTAAAAAACCAAATGACTAATCTGCGGTTAGGATTTCCTGGGAGTGTAAGGATGGAAAATCTTTTATGAGAGGGTTTGGATGGGTTTGAAGTCGATTGTGTAAACATGTGTAGAAAATGTGTGCTTCCTCTTCTATTGTCCTCATATGGATATCGAGATGGGAGGCTAGGTTAGAGACATAGGGTGGAGCATTGGACAATCGTCGAAGCGATATATTTTGGAATGTTTGAATTCTATCAGAGTTAGATTTTTTGCCGCGCCCCATAGTTGAAGTCCATACGTCCACATTGACTTGAGTAGAGATTTGTACATTAACAGTTTGATGTTAAGGGAGGACCACTCATTTCTAATTTTCAACTTATCATTTTAAGCTTTTCAATTCCAAAATCATGTGTTCAAAATTTCAAATAAAATGTTGGACTGTAGGATATTACTCTTTTTTTTCAGGTAAAAATGTCCATGTAGGAGATTACACCATCATTGATTTACAAGTAAAAAGGTTATTCGTGTAGGATTTTACATTCGGCCAAAAAAAGTACCATCACAAAATGGCTAGAGGTTAGTGGCGGCCCGCATTAAAGCATTAACACATTAACGTGTTGTGGAGACCGGTGAATTGCGGCCCGGTCATATTTTATTACTTAGTTAATTGCGGCCCGGGAAATTAATTTATTAATTAATTTATTATATTATAATACATTAAAAATATGCATTTTAAATTGAATATTTTTTAATACAAAATAAGCATTTTTTTTGTAAATACCTATTATTTTAATGAATATATTTTATTTAAATTTTAAGTAGTAAGTTACAATAAGAATTGAATTATTTTAATTAATGGGTTTTCAGATACTTCTTTAAATTGAAACATTAATTTCTTCAACTTCTAAAAAATAATTGACAAAATATTTCAGTTTCAAATGTTTACTCTCGAGACGTGTTTCTAGGAAAAACATGTGTTTGGGAACATCCAACAACCATATTAATATTGAGATCAACATTATTTTGGTTGTGAAAATAAGTGAATAAAAACTTCGACCAAAAATTATTAATAAAATTATTAAAACATGAACGTATTCGTGTTGTACACAGCTATTTTTGTGACTGTGCAAAAAAAATATGCAAATTTTAGAAGACCTCTGTTTTATAGATGACCAATAGCTTTCAAAATCTGCCTTTATCAGCATTTTATATATATCTTATAATTCTAAATTCGAATAAATTACAAAAAAGTATAAAATTAAGCTTATTAGATGTTTTATTAATCAAATAGTAACATTATAGCGACAAAAACAACATCAAGTCTGCAGACTTCTGTTTAAATTGTTGGCCCTATTTGGTCTTTCTTGAAATACTTGTTGTTGTCATTACATATTATGCCTATTTGTAATTTTTTATTAGTTTTAGTTAGGAAAATGATTTTTCTGCTCCAGAGATTGCTGTCATTATAATTTATATAAGAAAAATAATGCAAGCTCTTAAAACGTCACTTAGGTATATATCATTCGAAAACCATTTCGACGGGTCGTCGAAGTACCTACCTAGTATTACGAAAAAACAATGTGGTGTTCATACAACAAGTAACAACAATAACAAAAACTATAGTTATTATTATTATTATTTTAAATTCTGAGCCGAGTGATGAATGGATTGATTTTATAATAATGTGTGCGTGTTTTCTTAAATTCATTTTTCTTCTTTTATCACATTTTGGGGCAGAAAAAATGTCACCACACACAGTAAACTTATACTCTCATGTGGCCAATACCTTCAATGTATTTCATTGATATTTGGTATGTAACAAAAAAATTCTTGTTTAATATTCTGTGTGAGTTCCACGTGAACACGATCATGTTCAATGGCCATTATTCTGTTGAAATAAATAAAATCGTACTCTTTAATACGAAAAATAAGGAACAACATTTTACCGTGTAACGAAGAAATAATTTTATTATATAATCTCATGAAAACGAATGCATATAGTGCTTTACAATTTTGAATTCCGAAAAATGAAAATATTATGTGTTACAAAAAAAGTAGCAAAAAATAAGAAATAATAATTTAAATAAAAAAAAAGGCATCGGACAAGAAGAGGCGATGTGGGGGGGGGTACGTGATGGCGAGTTGGTGGTGCTGATGATGTTGGTAACTGGTATATGGCCACTGGTCACCTCTACAACGTTCTCCCGGGCTGTACTGCGGGGCGGACGAGAGTCGCGGGCGAGTTTGCTCGAGACCGCTAAGGCCCGGTTTTTCATTCATCCAGTTATTCGCCAGATACGTATCCGTCGGATAAACTTATCTGGCGGATAATCTTTCAAATAAAGTGATTCCGGTTTTTCAATGTAATTTTCTTCTCCAGATAGCTATCTGACAGATAAAGTTGTCGGTAGGAAAATTGTACTAACAGAAGGTAGTTACTATTGGTTATGGAACAAGTTACACATACCTATTTGATTATGATTGGTCAATGATGGAATTGATAAGAAATCGTTCTGTGATATCAGCAGAAATCATAAACACTTTGTAGTTTGTGTATTATGATCAAGGTAATTATAATTACGATCTAATAATTATTATGATCTATAACTGCGATATTTATATGTGTTGCGTGTTGACTGTTCAACTGTTTACTCTCAGTATATTCTCTATTAAACATGTCTCATCAAACCAACATCAGTCAGTGAGAAGTTTTCAATTTTAGCTGAAAAAAAGTTAGAATTGGTAGATTTGCAAATTTCTTTTTTAAAAGAGGAACATGAAGAAATAATGATTTTTTTGAAAAGGAAACATGAACTTGAACTTGCATCGTTAGAACTAGAAATTGCTAATAAAAAACATAAGCTGTGAATAGAATATTGTCTATTTGTCTTGGCTATTTTACCTATTCTGTTTTATTATTACCATTATACCTATATTTATTAAATTTATTTTTTTTGTAAACTTTGTTAAAATTAATACTAATCAAGAGTTGTTATAAGTTGCATATTTATTTTATCTAAGTCATTCTTAAATTAATTATAATCAAAAGAATTGTTATAAGTTACATTTTTATTTTATTTTAGTTACATTTTTATTTTATTTTAGTCATTGTTATTAACTACCTATGTATTATATTGCTAATTTCAACAAAAAATAAAAGGCTGATCATTAATAAAAAAGGTTTTTTTTAAGTTTTTTAAAAAACTACAGCGATTATCCTCTTATAAATAATAATAAACCATTTTAGATTAATTATAGACTTATTTTATTACAAAATTATTAATAATTTATACATATTACATACATAGTATGGAGTTATCACTGTATTTATAATTTACAATAGGGTTAATTTAAAAATGGAAAATATTCTTCTGTTAATTGTTTCCTTGCATTTCCTACTTCTGGTTCATGGTCTTCTCTTAAACTAAATTCTTCATTTAGCGGTAAATCCATATTAAATAGTTCGGGTGGCTCTCAGGGCTGCAACTCAAATAATGAATTAAAAAAGTGAGAAAAGTGATCAATTTTTTTTTTTTAGGTGACTAAAAGTGACTATATTTTTTTTTAAGTGATAAACAGTGACTATCTTTTTCTTAATAAACTAACAAAAGTATATTGCTCACTTGCATTTTATTTTATATATTAATAATAAAAAGTAATAATAATATCAACTCATTTGATATCTTATGAATTAATAAAACAACATAAATATAATATAATAGGCATTTGCCATGTAAATATGTAATAACTGCAATATAGATACTACATTTAAATTATAATTTAAGTATAAATTAATTATTGTAAGGAAAATATTTTTCTTTTTTTAGATAATTTTTTTTTTTTTAAAAATTATTGAAGATTATTGAATAATTATTACAACATACTATAATGCCATAAACTCAAAAAAAGTTATGATAATATTATAATACTAGCTCTAAGTGTAACTCGGGGCCGGTCGGACTCGCTGGGAGTGGGTACCGATTTTGGAGACAATGAATAATAAAAGTCGCAAAGGTTGTAAGACGAAAGTTTAGGATTTGTGATAAGGATTAGTGATATGGATTGGAGATAAGGCTAGACGCTTTGGCGGGAATGTTAAAAGTTTGAACGTCTAGCAATCCGTCACAAACGTTGTAATTAGATAGACTGGATACGATCTCCAGGATCACCTATATAGAGTATACCTGCACATAGAGTGGTATGTGCCGTAGCATGACCGGTGCTTTATCTTATGTAAAAAGTGTAAAGTCGAAAACCGTGTTGGAGTTTCTGGCAAGTCAGTCATCTCAAGTCAAAATCTATTAACTTTCAAGTTAGCCACTCCATGGTATTGATGGTTACTTAAAATACGGTTGTAGATCATGAGATTACATACTACGCTATATTGCGTACTATCAAACAAGCTGTGGTCTTACTAACGCCAATAAAATCACCAGCCGTTATTAGGAAATTTCCCGTAGCATAAAACCTCAGAGTCAACAGTAATTTATTTATTGGTGTAACAGCATTATTCCTTGTATATTAAAATATGTAAAAAATAATTGTTAATAAATTTAGTTCGATAAAGTTAATAAATAATTATTTATTAGCTCACCTAGTAGTTTGTGAAGCTATTTCGTCTTCAATATATTCTAATAAATTACGAACAACATTTTTCCCAAGTCTGAATCTCACCCTAAAGTCATGGTCATCCCACGCCAGCATATGATTTATTTTTTCATGTACAGTGTATAGACGACGTTGATAATTCAAATATTGAATTATTTCAAAATCATCATCCTCTTCAAATAAATCCATTTAAATAAAATCGAATGTAGACGAAAATTGTGAAATTGACAACAACACAACGTCACAACGTATTTCATATTTAAATTTTAAAGTAATATGATAAATTATGATAACACACCATATTTATGTTATCAGTTGTTAGTTATCCGTTGGATAAGATTTATTTGATACAAAAAGTAACGGACACGGACTAAGATATACCTTAGTATATCTTAGTCCGTGGTAACGGATAACTTATCCGCAACAATATCCATCGGATAAGGCTTATCCCGACATTGAAAAACTGAAATTTATCAATTATTTCTTATCTGTTAGATAACTCGAGCCACGACGGCTGCGAGAGCGACGACGGTTGGCGACGACAGGCTAGTGCGCGATGTCGTGCGTTGCTTGACAGTACTGCGGGTGCTGAAGACGACTGCTTGTGCTGGAAACGACGGTGACTTGCAAAGCTCGGAGGGAGCTGGGCGCTGGCGACTATAATCTCGGTGCAGTTGCAGAATCGGCGGCGTTGCGACTCGGGATCGGACCACTGGGCGAAAAGGGGAGAAAATCTGCGGACAGCGTCACGACGCGCCGCTGTCCTGATAGTCTCCGTGATTTTCGCCCTGGCGTCTCCGTCGCCGTCTGCCGCAGCCGATGGCCACGGAGCCGCGCACCGCCGAACCCAACGAAACGTTTCGTTTCCTCGAGCCCGGCGCTGCTGACGTCCGTGGCGTTCCTAGCTACCCTGTAATCATAGTCATCCGTCACTCACCCGCCGCGCCGTGAGCTCTGAGGTCTCCGTCGCCGCCGTCACGCGAGTCGCGCAGCACTGCGTTCGTCACTGAGCAGGTACCGTCGGGGACGGCGTCGTTGTCCGCGCCGGTACCGCTAACCTCCGTCGTCGTGTCGTCGTCGCTCCCGGACCGAAGCAGCCGGGCGCCCACCGCGCCGCCAGAGTTTCTCGCGTGTCTCGGCGACCTCGAGCGCGCAACGTCCGCGATCCCGTCGCGCTACCGCAGGATGGCCGGAGAACGCGTAACGGCGACTTACCGCCGATCACCACCTGAATGTGCACTGCCGCGTACCTATTACTTCGAAACCCCACACGTCGCCTCGCCTTGTCCGCTGCCCTCAGCCAGGGGGGAAACTTTTGGACGGTTTCACTTCGGGGGACAACAACAGCGCAACACGCGTACGGCTCTCGTTATGCCTCTCCACGCAGAGGACACCACTCTCGCCGTTCCACTGCGCGTGTTTCTGTCTTGACCCCCGGGTCCAGCCAACCAATCAAGATCCCAATACTGTTTCTGACTTCAAGTCCTCTGGCCGGTGTGGCGCCCACCGCCTCGCCACCCAGCTCCTTTTCCGCGGCTTCCTGCACCGGAGGCGCGACCACTACGACGTCGTCTACGATCGGTTCAACCGGTTCTGCCGTTTTGCCAGATTTGTCGACCGGTTGAAAGACGTTTAACGGGACGTAGTCGTCCCCCGCGAAGCTCGTCGCATACGACAAAAGTCCTTCCAGGTCACCGATGGTAGGTTCCTCGTCGATGTCGTCTATTCGGCCAAGTTCTTCCTCCATAATCTCGTACTCGACGTTGCTAATTATCTTTTCCAGGATTTGCTTTATGGTTGTTTCCATTGCCTTTTCTTCGTTATGCGATGCAGCCATTTTTTTGTTCAGGTTTTTTTTTGTCCGCGTAAGGTGTCAGATACTCAGATGAGTTGCAAATGTGCCGATTTCCGTATTTCTTCCTGGGCCGTCGACGATGATTTAAAACAAACATCGTTTATTAGTAGCCAGCACATTATTATATTAATCGACCGGCATCAGCTGGATTTCGGGCCCGTTAATTTTTCCAAATGCCATTATTACGACTATTATTGGTATAGGTACCAACTCTAACTGTATACTTACGCGGAGGTATTCTATAATAATTGTATTATAATGTTTTAACGAGGATTTATAATATGTCGATCTGCATTATATTACTATACCTACTGTCGTATATATATACTCGTTTTATACTTTTGTAGGTAGTGTTAATACATTTATACAGTGGCGTAGCCAGAAATTTTGTATGGGGGGGGGGGCTAAATATATGAATACAATATGTCTTTTATTTTTTTATTAATCTTGATAAAATGTTAAGGTCAACACGGTCAATGCCCCCCCCCCCTGGGAATATAAATAATATATTTAGTTCTGAAAGAATTCCTCTAGTTTGTTTTGTTTTTTCTTATTCTTCATCCCTCACTTTTCTCGTCTTTTACTGGGCCAAAGATCTTTCTTAGGATTTCTCTCTCTAGAATAATCAATTTATTTTCCTCCGTTTTTCTTAATGTCCATGTTTCTGCTCCGTATGTAATTATAGGGCGTAATCCTATAGATAATATTATAAATATTATATATTCTTATATTATCTATGGACGTAATAGTGTAATATATATAATTGTAACTTTATTTCTCTCAACAAGGACCGTGACGTGTATCTTTGTGGGTCCGTAAAGACATTTGTTTTCCGACAGGATTCTTGCTGCTACTTCCTTTTCAATTTCATTTTTTCGGTCAATACTGAACCTAAATATTTAAATTGTTTGAATGAAGGATACATTCTCGTACTATCTCTTCTCCCCACCACCATGTATTCTGTTTTACCTTTGTTTATTTGTAATTCAAGTGCCAACCTTCTTCGCTGCCTCCTTGCAAACGGCCGCAAAGTGTTCTTAGTCCATCGTGTGAATCGTCTGCATCGTGTGCAGTCATCGTAAATCATGATTTATCTATGAGGACCAAATCGTCTGCATAAGCCAATAATGTCACGGAGCACACTTGATATATTACTAAGTATATTTTGTCAAAATTCGAACTATAAATGCTTATAAAAAAATGTTGTGCCCATGTATTTTCATATTTTTCAACTGTCATTGAAACAATATATTAGGAGTCTTGCACTCTTGCATTAAAAAAAATTATAATATTGACATCTATAGAAAAAAAACTAAAAAAATTGGAAACTGAAAATATCCGTAAACAGCTTATTTTATGGACTTATAATGTAGGTAAATGCTAATATAAAGAATCAGTGAAAATTGCATGTATCTACGGCATAGACATATTAATATGTCTATGATCTACGGTCATTATTGTTTTATAGAATTACACCAAAAACCAAAATCGAGTTAGTCGAAAACGGATTTTGCGTACAAGTTCCCGTTTTTCCTTAATTTTGTTTTTGTCTTTGTATACAATATGAAACGCGGAAAAAAAGTCCCACACTAGGAAAACAATTTCCCGATAAAAATGAATGAAAATATATCAATATTGAAGTAATAATATGTTAAAATTGTATTGAAAATACATTAAAGCTACATAAAAAATTGTTAATTACTTACTTAAATCACATATTTAAATATAATAAACTGTAATACAATAGTCAATAATAAATACAATTTTAGTGCCTATATATTTATAATAACAATGCTATAAAAATCTAATATTATAATTAGGTATACACCTCTTTCTTATGTTCTGAGTTATGACTAGAGCTCGGATTTCTATGTAATTGCATATTTTTTTCCTTTCAATTTTTTTGGATTTTTGTCAGTTATCTCCATGAATCATCATAATTTGAGGCTAATGGTGAAATTCTTTTTGGCATATTTCTGCATATTTTGGCAAAATTCAAAATGTATTGCATATTGAAGCCAAAATTTAAAAAAAATGTATAAAATAATATTTTGTCAAGTAGAAAAATTAAAACTAAATTTCATAGTCAATAAATAATAACTTATATATATATTTATTTATAACTTTAAAAGATAAATAATCGATTACGACGTAAACTTAATGAAGGCTTTTCAATAATATTGACGAAACAAAAAAAAAAATCATTCTATTCCTGGATCGAAAGGTGCAACACTTACAACGAAATTAAACGAGCTTTCCAACAAAAATGAAGATCTGAAAATTCTACCAAAAATTAATTCAGTGTTATTAGGCGAAAATATTCATCTCGAAGATCTTTATCAAGACTTGACCATTCTAAGTTGCTTCGAATATGCCCCAATAACTTCGTTTGACGTCGAACATTCGTTCTCAGTCTTTAAAAATATGTTAACCGATAAACACTAAACAGCTTCACAGAGGAAAAACTTGATGATTATTAATTTTAATAATAAATACAATTTTAAAAACAAATTAGGTTGTTCAGAAAATTCCCTAATTTTTTTTTTATTAAGTATTAAAGTAATTAATTATTATAAGTTTTATGATAAATTTTAAATGCATAAAAATATATTGCATATTTTTTACATATTTTCATAATTTTGACTCCATATATTTTACATATTTTCAATATTTTCATGATTTTTTTCTGCATATCATATATTTATATGGCATATTTCAATACCTTTAAGTGCATAAAAATCCGGGGGTATAGGTCGTGTGGGTAGTTGCCCCCCTCCCCATGACCAATTTATTTGAAAGTTATGTTCTCATTTTCCAAATAATTTGCAAGTATTTACAAATTGGTTTTCAAAATTTGCGAAGCGAATAAATTCCGTGTCCAATATAAAAAATATAAAACAGGGGGGCGCTAATTTCACACACCCCCTAGCTAATTTTGAGCTACGAATTTCAATATGATACCAACATTTTGTAAATAATTTGCAATTAACAAATAAAGGTAGATTAATTATATATATAAATATAATATATAAACAGATTTTTTAACAAATGTAGAATTTATAATATTGATTTTTTATCAAAAATTGATTTAATATAGATTTTTTTATCAAATATAGGTAGGTTATTTATTAAATATAGATTTTTCAATATGATTTTCTTTTTGTTTTATTGTTGTAATATGAATTTTTTTATCAAATAAAGATTTTTTTATCAAATATACATTTTTAATAAAATTTATTTTATTTATATTTAGATGTTTTTTTTGTTTAGTTTTTTTTCATTCAATCAAGATTTTTTTATTAAAAAGGTACAGATTTTTTATTAATAATTTTTT